GTTTAAAACATCCCTCTAATTTAGGAGCACATCCAACTGGTCAAGGCAATTAATGGCATTTCACTTAATAAAATTTTGCAAACAGTGACTCCTCCAGGGAACAAGTTTTAGGGAATTCCAAGTCTACTAGGAATTCTTACCTGGATGCTGATGAATTTTTGGTTTTGCCCATTACAATTGCAACTTTGCAATTTGGGTTCCCAGCACCTTAAAAAAATGGCAAACACAAAAATTGTTTTTAGCATAAAATTTCAATGTAGAAACAAATTAAGTTTCATAACAAGAAATCCTACTGCCTTCCTTTTGTGAGGCAGGAAATGCAATCTACCCCCATGTTTATGTTCTGAATACCACACTGAAACAAAATACATACTAGCACTCAATATGTAAAAAAAGGGAGCTGACTTGTGGGAAGCAGAACATGAAAAGCCAAAACATCCAAACCCTCCAGGTCCATCACCTATTCCTATGAAAAGGGAACAAGAAGGTACTTGAAATGGAATCTGATTACTTCAGTCTCCATTACAGCTGAGCAAATAAGTGTGATACAACAGCACATCTATCAAGGTGACATGCTGCCATTTCAAAAGAAAAACTTTTAAAAAAACTACTTCAACCTATAAAGACTGGAGGGTCTATGTGGGAATGAAACACCAACCACATTATTACCAAATTATGCAGGTAAGGCTATCAAAGGGCTACCATGATAACTTTTTACTACTTCAGCATAACTTCTCTGGAATGCAGGATTTCTCCCCCTTTACACAAATTATTTTAAATTGCACTTTTGAAGAAAGATCTGAGTGAAAATTGTTACCTGAAAAGAGCCTGCTAATGTTTCAAGCCATGGATAACATTATTTGAGATGTTTCTTATTATGGACATATTTATTAAGCCTTTGTAGCATAAAGAAAGCACTTTAATGTACTAGTGCTGAAAAAGATTCTACCATTGATTAAAACATTTCTATGATCATTAATCCTCCCTGTCTTTTTCTTTAAAGACTTCTTAGTACCAAAGCATGCTCGTGTTCCTTTCAAAGCCTCCCACAAACAATAAAGCTAAGGAAAATACCCAATGGGTGTGGCAATCAGTAATTTTTTAGTGCAGATGGCAAGGTTTGTAGAGATTCAATTCAAGGCTTGATCTGTGGCAGCTTGGCTTTGTTCTGAGGTTAGAAGCAAATACAACTGTACTCTGGCAGCTGTTCTCACAAGGCTTGGGAGACTCTGGTCTGGACAATACAACTACCTGGCTTTGAGCTGAGCCACTTCCTCCTACAAACTGTGATGGCCAGGAAGTGGGAGAGAGATTTATTCAATTGTGATAAACACTGCCTGTTTGGAGGGCCAGACTGCCAGACGTTTACTTTTCTCTTTTGCAATATGGTATTCAGCCATTGTTTCCAGAGGGGGCTTAAAGAGTGGCCCACGAGCTGTACAATGCCAACAATGCAGAAAATCCCAGTGAAGAGCATTGGGCAGGGGCATAAATCAATTTGGTAAAAAAAACCCAACCAAACTGGATCCCAAACACTTAGCTCATTTGGGCAACTGCAACAAGCAGCTGATCAGCCCCAAATGACCCAAGATATGCTTTGCAGGGTACTAGCCTGCACCAGGAAATGTCACCACTGCACAAGGGGTATTTGACTCTTCTTTTCCACGGAAGGTAAAGAACTGCACAAGTGCTATTTTCTAAAACAAACCTGTGTTCAAGTGAGGTTTACAACAAAAGATGTTTTGACCTTCTGGAAACTCCTGAAAAGCTGTTTTGTAAATAATCCTCAACCACATCCCTGCTTCAAAACAAAGGGCAAACTTAACCATGTTGTATGAAAAGAAACCCAAAACCTCACAAAACCTCAGAAGAAGCTTTCATGTTGAACTCAATGAGAAGTTCACAGAGAGCCGGACATCTGGTTAGATGTTCTAAATCATTTGTACACATTTCTGGAAGGCAAATGAATACTCCAATCTTATATGTGCTTGTTCCTGTCTAAGCACAGCAAAGGACGGCAGATTCCTGGCCCTTCCACTCCTTAGAGTCTTAAGTCCAGGAAAACTAAAATAAATTTTATGTCACTTTGACCCATAAAAGACTGAAAAAAGTTCTGGTCTAATGCAAGACTCTGAAAAACGCCAGTGCTTTTGGATGGAATGCAAACAGCCTGGATGCAATAAACATCTCTTTTGTAAATGACAGTTTCACATCACTTACAGAATTCAAAGATGTTGCTGGAGGATGGATGGGAAGAGTCAGAGATTGAATAAGAGTTAGAAGTAGTTCTGCAGGAAAACTCACAACTGAATAAACACCAGATGTTTAAGGTGGTCAGTTTTAACTATTTTTCCATATTGATGAGCTTTCAATAAAGTTTTCCATGTATATGACTGCACAAACCAAAACTTTTAGACCACAGTGCTGCTACACTGGCAAACATCTTTGGTTTAACCAACTTCTTACACTTTTGAACTCTTCATGGCACTTACATAGTGAGGCAAAGCCAGTATTTTAAAACGTGCTTAGAGTGTTGATCACAATCCCATCAGAAGCCTAATCTTTGCTATCAGGGGTATAACATGCTTAAGTTTACTGATCTTCACACAATCAACTTATACAGGTTCTTTCTGGTGGAGAGACTACTAAATATGACAACCTTTGAGTACCACCTGTACTTGAGCAATCTGCCATAAAGTCTGCTTCCAGAAGCCAGCAGCACTTTAATTGTTACAATCTATTTATTTTTCAGTGTTCAGTCTTCAATTTCCTGTCTAAGATGACTAAGGCCAGATGAACTAGTGCCTGAATGCTGAATACCTATGATTTTTGTCTCATTGGCTGCTGCACCCCTCAGCCCAGCAGGTTACTTCTCTCTGCTTCTCTCAGGGGTCTGTGGTAGCTTACAGACCTGACAGCTTCCTGTTCTTCCAGAGTTCTGGACTCTCCTGCAAGAAACTGGTCTTGTAGGACCAACACACTTAGGATGTTGGTCCTACAAGGATATTCAGTCTTCAATTTCCTGTCTAAGATGACTAAGGCCAGATGAACTAGTGCCTGAATGCTGAATACCTATGATTTTTGTCTCATTGGCTGCTGCACCCCTCAGCCCAGCAGGTTACTTCTCTCTGCTTCTCTCAGGGGTCTGTGGTAGCTTACAGACCTGACAGCTTCCTGTTCTTCCAGAGTTCTGGACTCTCCTGCAAGAAGAAACTGGTCTGGTAGGACCAACACCCTTAGGATATTGGTCCTACAAGGATGTGGATGGCAGCATGGTACTGACTGTTGGAATGTGGGAGTCTCCTGATGGAGAAAAGGGACACACACAGGCACATCCCACCAAGAGCCCACAGTAATTTCTATCCACCAGCACATTGTATTCCATAGTTTTATCTCATCTTCTCCAGATAACAGTGCACGCAGCTGGTTCATGGAGGACACAGCTGTAGCTGCAAGCAAACAGGCAGTGCTGGGGCTGTGTAGCTGCAAGTGGCTTTGCAGTCCTGCTACTGAATGTGGCTGCTGGTCATTCCCAGCTGGAGCTCATGGGCTCCATTAGTGCCAGTGACTGCAGCTGCTCAGCTCAGGTTTTTTCCTTGCCATCCTGCCATTTTCACATAGCCACAAGTGTTTTTACTTAAGATCTGTTTCGTATTCACTCTTACTTACTAAATAATTTTTTTTTTTACCCTACTGAAATACACACATGACAATATTATTTCTTTACTCTGACTGGAAGGATCTGTCCTCCCTGCACCCCTAAAAAGTTATAAGGAGCTGAGAAACTGCAAAAACAAGGCAGGATTCACATGAACTGCCTTCCTACAGCCTGCCCACAGAACCTCTTGGGCACTTCTGCAGGCAATTCCCTGGGAGCATTCTCAGCTCTAGCCTGATTATTCCATCTTCTTGGAGGCCCTATTGAGACAAAGCCTATTCAGAACTGAAATTTTAATTTGTTTTAAAGAGACATAGCTCAGGCCTCAAAGCCATGACAGGACCTGTGAGATGATGGCTGGGAGAAGCCCAAGCATCTTATCTGCCACTGTGAAGAGCACCACTGAAGTACTGTGATAACTCAAGATGAAAGCATTGCAGAAATATGCACAAATATTGTGGCACTCTTCCTCTAGGCTGTAATTCCTCTCCCAGCCCATTTTACTTTGTCATTCTGTAACAAAATATAGCATATGGAAAACATCTGCCCATTACATTCTTAGCTGCTCATTTTTAAGAATCTTTCCTTTCACATATTTCAAAATAATTGAAGCACAGACAGAAGGTTAATCTAGTCATGGCAGGTGCACCAGCATGCCAAAAAACTCCAAAAATCTGACCTCTGGTCTCTTTAATATCTCTCTGTGTTGCTGGGCTTCAATATTGCATTTACTGAAGCTCATTAGATTGTTACCTGATCCAGGATAATTCAAATAGGTCACTAATTTGATTATGAGATTGACTGGCAACATTCAGGTCCCTGGGAGCTCTCCCCAAGGGTGCAGGACTATCTGCTTGTATGCTGGTTGACAATTTGCCACTTGCCTTCACATATTTTCCTTACCATCTTTCTGGTTTCACACACTGAAAGAACCCCTTTCCCCACCTCACAAAAAGTAACTCATCTATTGTATCTCCTAAATAGTTATGTAAGGAGGGGATGTAAGGATCCATTTAAACCTTATACAGTCAGCCAAAAAAAGCACAGTACTGCCCCTGAGGAAAGAATGGAGTGACTCCCTGTGGTGTCTGGGCCAGTAACTCAGCCCCAGATGCACCTCCTTTCTATCCTTTTCATCTTTTTAATGTGTTGTTTGATAAAAGCCTCTTGATGATGTATAAAACATTTGGACTTCCAGGAATAAAACCACAAACAACAAAGAGAAGCAGTAAGAGTGTCCTGACCTTCCAAAGAGCAGTCACAGTTTGTTGGAACAGGAAGGAATGTAGGAAGTATACATGTTCAACATAAGAAGAGTCGCCAGGAAAGCACATTTTTTAAAAGTTTTTTTAAACCGTCAAGTCAAAATGAAAGTGCAACGGACTTCCACATGAGGGTGTGGTGTTTGAAGACAAAATGCGATGTGTCAGAGCAATTCAGATCACTTCACTGAGGCACATCTCAATTGCAGTACCTGCTACTCGTCTGCTGACAAAAGGTAAATTTTGTTTTATCCTTACTGCTCTTTATATTGGATGATATCTTCTTTGCATACATTTACTCTTAGTTAAGTTGGCTTTACAGAGATATGTCATTTCACAAAGGCATGTCTCCTTTCCAGTATCAAAATTAGATTTGCTCAGTAGCAGGACAGAATACTGCTTAATTTATCAGATGAAAAAATCTGTCTGTTTAAACTAGGGATATTAACTTAATTCACCATCATTCGTACAATCCTACATCAAGTTTAAATACACAGAAACACTGAATTTCTATCTGACTGGAAGGCTGAAACAATTCTGCAAGAAAACATGCAGTTGCAGACCTAATATATTTATTAGTATACCTCCTAGAAAACTATTTGAAAAACCAGCAGCTTCTGAGCTGTTCGGGTACTTGTGGGTAGTTTGTATGTGACAAAATTCCTTTCTGTCATAACATTCTGAGAAGCTCCAGCTGGAAGATGCAGTGTACCCACAGCAATCTGCTTCTGTAAGAAATTCCACGTGGGCATGGCTCCCTGTGTGGGATGGAGACTAAACTAAGCTTTTCCACCACTCTTCAGTGCTCGATTCCCACAGGACTGCTTGGCTGTTTGCAATGGGCACATGCTCGTGTGCCTGAGAAACAGCACTACCAGGAAAGAAATGTGAGCCAAAACATAACTGTGCTTTCAAGGGAGAAATGTCAACTGTTGCATTTTAGATAACTTTGTTTCTGTCATGAACTCAGGGCAGGCAAAAGCTTATCAGGCAGCTGAGCACAGAGTCACAGCCAAACTGCTTTGTCATACACAGACTTTTAAAGTTTGCCCTGAAATGTTTACTGATTTACTTTCAAGTAAATTTGCCAGTGATACAATTTGATTAACAATTCCTTGATGGGTTCTGTATTGAGTGTTTTAAGACCACAAGCAAATCTTTTAATTTAACTTCTAATTTTCCTCAAATCTCAGCTAAGTAGATTAAACTTTTCTTGCTGCAGTTTCTCTTCTATTAAAAAAAATTAATAAGCAAAGGTCCTTTTGTTGCTGATAACTAAATCTCTCCTCAAAGTACTATAACGCTGCAAAAGATTACTGCTGCTGGAGAATCCTGCTAACACAACTTGTTAGGCATAGAACAGACATCCCTCTGCCAAAGTATTAAGTAGAGTGACTCTACTTTTCCATTCTGCACATCTCATGGCAACAATAAAGAACAAATTGCAAGACTTAAAAAGGAGTAATCATTTTTTTTTAAGTTTGATGGGGAGTGTTTTGAAATGTTAACAGAATAATACAACAAAGTCATTAAAGATGAACCAAACCTGATAGCTAATTTTAAACTAATACACTTAAAAAAAATTGGCTAGGAGAATCACTGAAAAAAATTAAACAAAAATAAAATCTATTAATTTCTCTCTATTTAATTGGTCTGCATCCCTTATTATGAGATCAATCAGCAAGTTGTTTTTTCCTAGTAGACAAATATATTAAAAAAACTTTAGGAGTTTAAACATTCAGTTCAACTTCATTTAATTAATTGTTTAAGAAACAGAAATGGTATTTGCATTTTTCTTTCATGCTTGAAAAAGCCAAATTGTAGCTCTGGGGCAGAGTATCAGATAACAATCTGCTTTCAGCACAATTGACCTCAAATTCTGAACTCTGCATATGATGACAAAAGGGGGATATGTTTTTCATTCTCAGCTGATTTTTGCTACTGCTGCTAAGAAACCTTAATCCCATTTATTCCAAGGAAACAGGGTATGGCAGGACTTATTTTATGACAGCAGAATTTCAGCACATTAGTCAATGAACACAGTTACAGGAAAAGGAGAAAATAATGCAGGACACGAACTTGCTTAAGACACAATCTGAAGATACAAATGCTTAAACTTCAACCCTAAGCTGGCAGGGAGAAGCCAGCCTCAGTGTGTACAGAGTAAATCTGTCATGAGATCATACTTGAAAAACCAACAGAGTTTCTGAGCTGTTTGGGTACTTGTGGGTAGTTTGTATGTGATAAAATTCCTTTCTGTCATAACATCCTGAGGAGCTCCAGCTGTAACATGCTGTGTACCCACAGCAATCTGCTCCTGTAAGAAATTCCACATGGGCATGGCTTGCTGTCTGGGAGGGAGACTAAATTAAGCTTGTTCTGCTGCTGTTGAGCAACAGACCCCCTGCTGTGCTTTTTGTAATGGGCATGTACAGTGTACCTGAGAAACAAAGAAGAACCTCTCCTTTGTACTATACTCCTATCCAAAACTTGTCAGAATTTATGACAGCACACAGCTGCTTGCCTCAGCTCTAATCTGCTCGTATTCCTTATACACCTGATTGTAACAGCATTTACAGCCTTCAGCTAGTATTCCTTTGCTTTGCAGAGGCTGCAGAGGGAACCCCATAAAGGTACACACAGAGTTATGTGCAATGGAATATTGTCAAACACAACACAGTTGGAGCAGTTAAAGCAATGATGGCTCCTTGACTCAAATGTGGAAATCAGTGAGGGGCACTCCAAGCATATTACAGTCTCAAATGCTAAGGGTAAAGAAAGCATTTCAATTGAATCCATTTTACATGTATTGCCCACACTGATGTCCTCAGTTACCCTATTTCATGTGAGAATTTGAGATGGTCTGCTCTGCCTCTGTTACTGTCTAGCTTCACTTTGATTATTCACAAATGTATTCTGAATATCCAAGTTCCTTAAATTTGAGAGGTATAAGCAGGCCTGAAGAACGGTTTTAGGTTTCAACAGAAATTTTAGAACTTACACCCAATATTATTTCTTTGGTGTTCCCTTCTCCCCACTTTTTTGTGTCTTGTAGCTTTGCCACGGTCTGAGACATGAATAACTCAACAGATTACTGGATGGAGGATGAGGAGGATGATCTCAACCCTCTTATAGATTACAATACCTATGAGCTTCTCTGTGAAAAAAGTGACGTGAGAAATTTCAGAAAATTATTCCTCCCAGTGTTCTATGCACTGGCTTTCACAGTTGGAGTGGCTGGAAACTCATTAGTGGTTGCAATTTACGCCTACTGCAAGAAACCCAAGACCAAGACAGACGTGTACATCATGCACCTCGCCATTGCTGATCTGCTCCTGCTCTTCACCCTCCCTTTTTGGGCTGCAAATGCAGTGCAGGGATGGGAACTTGGAAACCCCATGTGCAAGCTCACTTCTTCTCTGTACACCATGAATTTCAGCTCCAGCATGCTGTTCCTGGCCTGTATCAGCGTGGATAGGTACAGGGCCACCTCTGAATCCCAGGGCCAGAGAAGAGTAGGCAAACACTGCAGTGTTACCTGCATCTGTGTCTGGCTGGCTGCCACTTTCCTCAGTATCCCAGAGCTGATATTTAATCAAGTCAAGAAACACAATGAGAGGAACGAATGCCTTCCCATATTTCCAGTGAACATGGAAACACTCTTAAAATCAACCATTCAAATCCTGGAAATTATCCTGGAATTTCTGCTTCCTTTCCTAGTAATGCTGATCTGCTATTCCGCTACTGCTCGGGCAATCTTTAGGTCTGCAAATGTTAAGAAGTCCAGGCCTTTCAAGGTTCTGCTGGCAGTAGTGGCTACTTTCATTGTCACCCAGCTACCCTACAACATCGTGAAGCTGTGGCGAGCCATAGACATCATCTACATGTTGGTGACAGACTGTCACACCAGTAAAACCATGGACGTGGTGCTCCAGGTCACCAAGAGCATCGCTTTGTTCCATGCCTGCCTCAACCCTCTCCTCTACGCCTTCCTGGGCGCCTCTTTCAAAATGCACATCATGAAAATTGCAAAAAATTATGGGTACTGGAGAAGACAGCAGCAGAATGGAAGACCTGAAGAAATTTCTATGAATTATGAAGACCCTACTGAAGAAACCATCAGTTTCACTATATAGGCCCTCTGTTCCTTCCATCATCTTACATGACCAAGGGAATTGTTAACTAATTCCAGGGGGTATTGCTTCTGCAGCTGTTTCTCTGCAAGTCAGCTTTCAGATCAATTTCTGAACCAAAGCAGATACCACAAAGAACTTCAAAGTGGAACATGTTTATCAGAATCAAGGAAGAACTGAATAGGAATCAAGCAAGAATTAAATATTGAAACCCCTAGAAACAACCTGAGATTTACTAAACAACAACATTAAAGAACTCAAAAAAAGCACCACAATAAAAACCAAACACCTAAAAACACCCTCAAGATTTAAATTCTTAAGTGTCATAGTACTAGGCAATTCAGCAACTGTGTAATGAACAACTAGTACACATCTAAGCATGCAATTAAAACAGAGAACAAAAAATCACCAATCAAACAACATGAACCTTTGTACCAGCAGTTAATAATCTTGTGTTTCTTCAACTATTTTATAAAACTTTAGAACGTTTACCTAACAGTTCAGCTCCATTTCTCAACTCAGCTATCATTCCATAGATAACCTTGCAGATTGAAATGAAGTATAAACTTATGGCTGAGAACAGAGAGGGAGAAAGAGGGGGAAAAACCATTCTCTATGTGTTTCTACAAAGGTATAGCAGCAACAACATTCTCCACAAAAGTACCCCAGCAACTCCTTTTCTATAACCACAGAAAAAATGACCTTTCATCTCTTCTTTTCTGCTCACCCTAAACTTCAACAAGACCAGTGCTTGTAGGGTGGCTGGCATATTCTAGATTTTTATAAATGTAATAAAAAGTTCAGGTAATCTTCAGATACAAGGTCTGGATTTTTTATTTAGAATTGTTAAAATTAATCAAGCACTGCAATAACTGTATCTGCTAAAGTATATGAAGATACAATAAAATCAAAGAATAGAAAAAGTGCACTGGCTTTTGTTTTCTTATCTTTGTTTTTGTTTTGTTTTAGTAGGTACTGACATCTGTCATCATAGGCATTTACCAACCAGCAAATGGGAGAGGCATTGCTTGACAAAAGAGGTTCCCATTCTATATGGAGCTCATGGATTCACAATTTTTACACAGAGAGGTACCAAGGCCATCCCCTGCCACAGTGTTGGCAGGGATTCAGCAGTTTTTCCATGAGTCACTGGAAGCATTTCAAACATACTGACATGTTAGCTTAGCTTTCAAAATGAAGAAGTGGTGTTACAGCATTCTGTCCTTGTCTTCAGACATCCTGTGGGCTCTGACAAAACCTCTCATCTACAGATTAGGAAAGCCAACAAGAATCTCTCATTTTTAGATACTGTTGCTAGTTACACAATTATGGACTGGAACAAAAAGCTCTAAAATGACAGACAAGAAACAACAGTAGCATAAACAAGACATGAGCCTCTTCTTCCTGTTTGGATGACAAAAGCTTACAGAATGTTTGCCCAGAATGTTTTGAGAAATACCAGGGCGTGAACAGATAAGTCAGAAGTGCCTGACCAGTTTTCTACAAGTGCACCACAAATCTGACCTATTTAAGCCACACTGGATTTATTGTACACATGCAGAGCATAATAAGAAATCCCACTTCTTCCATTAAGTAACTGACTCCTTGCATGTGTGATTTATGACTTGTCTTCACAAATAACAAGTGATATTCTTACCAGACTGCCAGGCTTCTGGAATTCCCACATATCCAAGGTTTTAATGTCCCAAAAGTTAAAAAACCCAACAAAAGAAAATAACAAGTGATATTCTTACCAGACTGCCAGGCTTCTGGAATTCCCACATATCCAAGGTTTTAATGTCCCAAAAGTTAAAAAACCCAACAACAACAACAAAAAAACACCTGAACAAAAAAAACCCCAAAGAAACTAACAACAAACAAACAAAAAAACCCAACCAAAAAACACCAAGAAAAACCCCCCCACCTTTCTAGCCAGGCAGAAAGAGAGACTAATACAGAGCCAAATGAACATGTTTCTCAAACTTCTTGGAACTGCAGTGCCTTTTATGCATCTGTCTTTATGCAAATCTGACTGCCCTCATTGTATTTATTGGAAATAAGACAAACCAAATCATGCTGTCTTATGTTTACTCTCCTTTTTATAATTCACATAACTAATTTTATGAATATTATTTTGTGTGTGTGACCCCCCAAAACTTTCTCATTACTTCCTCAGGGACTGCAATGCACAGCTGGGTGACAATGACCCAGAGCAAAGGCCAAAAAAAGCCAGCAGTTAAGCAACACTCTTGGGTCAGGAGACAAGATTCCATGCCTCTCTTTGCTGCCAGCTTTACAGGAGTAGAACAGAGAGAGAGATCTATCTTCTGGTGACTCCAAGTATTGCACAAGCATGTATCAGCAGCTAGCTGTCATAATTGTGTACATAAATGAAACATTCAAGTTTAACAACTCATTTACAACAGTTTGGATTCCAAACTCTCAGGGAATGATGACTTTCAAGTTGCTGTTACATGTTTTGGCAAAAAAAGTAACAGTTCTACAATATCAGGGACAGTTGCCACTTACAGTACAATGCTTTGATTTTACTGGAAATTATAACATAAGGAAATCTCCTTTAACAGTCAGTCCAACAACATCACAGGCTACTTTAAAAGCAGCCACATTTTATTGTAGCTATACAGTACTCTCAAGCCTCTCACACAAGCTGCCAAAGACAGCTTCACAAAAACAAAGCCATAAATGTGTAATTTGACTGACAGAAAGAGGTTTAAAGAAAACAGCAAAAAAATTTTGTGAACAAAATTCAGAGGTTCCAAAAAGGGCCCAAATCCCCAAACTAGATTTGAATCTTGGAATTTGGTTCATAGAAAAAAAGCTCAATTCAAAAAAAAAACCTGAAAAAAAACCCCCCCAAACAAAAAAAAAAAAAAAAAACAAAACCAAGAAACTCCAAGAAAAAAACCCCCACCTTTCTAGCCAGGCAGAAAGAGAGACTAATACAGAGCCAAATGAACATGTTTCTCAAACTTCTTGGAACTGCAGTGCCTTTTATGCATCTGTCTTTATGCAAATCTGACTGCCCTCATTGTATTTATTGGAAATAAGACAAACCAAATCATGCTGTCTTATGTTTACTCTCCTTTTTATAATTCACATAACTAATTTTATGAATATTATTTTGTGTGTGTGACCCCCCAAAACTTTCTCATTACTTCCTCAGGGACTGCAATGCACAGCTGGGTGACAATGACCCAGAGCAAAGGCCAAAAAAGCCAGCAGTTAAGCAACACTCTTGGGTCAGGAGACAAGATTCCATGCCTCTCTTTGCTGCCAGCTTTACAGGAGTAGAACAGAGAGAGAGATCTATCTTCTGGTGACTCCAAGTATTGCACAAGCATGTATCAGCAGCTAGCTGTCATAATTGTGTACATAAATGAAACATTCAAGTTTAACAACTCATATACAACAGTTTGGATTCCAGACTCCCAGGGAATGATGACTTTCAAGTTGCTGTCACATGTTTTGGCAAAAAGTAACAGTTCTACAATATCAGGGACAGTTGCCACTTACAGTACAATGCATTGATTTTACTGGGAATTATAACATAAGGAAATCTCCTTTAACAGTCAGTCCAACAACATCACAGGCTACTTTAAAAGCAGCCACATTTTACTGTAGCTATACAGTAATCTCAAGCCTCTCACACAAGCTGCCAAAGACAGCTTCACAAAAACAAAGCCATAAATGTGTAATTTGACTGACAGAAAGAGGTTTAAAGAAAATAGCAAAAAAATTTTGTGAACAAAATTCAGAGGTTCCAAAAAGGGCCCAAATCCCCAAACTAGATTTGAATCTTGGAATTTGGTTCATAGAAAAAAAGCTCAATTCAGCTCCTTCTGCTGCTTTACATTCTATTGCCTTTACTCAAGAGAAGACAAATTTTTATCTCAGAAATGGAGCACAATAATTTTTGTTTTAACAGTTCTTAGAAAAAATTCTACCTTAGCCATTCTTATTTAGGTTTCCACACTTACCACTGCTCCACCACTTTTTGCCATTGATCACATAGCTGTTCCCATCTCGCTCAATGGTGCACTGCATATTGGTAGCATCACTTGAAGCCACATCAGGTTCTGGGTCAAAGGAAAAAACAAACCACCAGATTAAATATAAAGGTAATAAAATCTCCACAAATATAGGGCTCTAGATATACTCTATTAAAAGTACACTGTTTTGCTACCAGTAGAAAAACTCTTTGAAGACCCTCACTGTTGGTGACAGAAAGACTTCCTGTTTTCCAACAATCTGTTATTCACAGCCAGTTTAATTGTACTTGTTCTTGGGCTTGGACCACCCTTTGCAATCAGCCTTCTTCCTTTCCTTCTCTTTTTAAATCCTTTATCCTTCCATTGTACTTACAGGTAACAGTCATTTCTCCTCAGCCTGTTTTCTCCTCCTGGGTTCTTCCCAAGCGAAAACAGAAATTGAAAATAATTTTGTGGCTGTTTATGAAATACAGTACACGAGGTTGTCACTAAAATGTCATCAAAGATTTTCTAAAGCAAGAAAGATTCTTTCTTTCTTTTCACCATTACTTCTTTTTATAGGCCATCTACTTTAAAACAAAAGTATCTATCTCCTCCTGGGAAACACAGTGAAACAGAATTTGCAAAGTGTCTGCAAGGCTGAGTTCTCTCAATTCCATCTGACACAGGAGGATCAAGATTTTGACATCACATTTGGAACATTTAGTTCCAAAAGCTATCTTCCAGAGATGCTGAATGCCACAAGCTTTCAGGAGCAAAACTAAATACAATGCTGAGCTATGGACACATAAAGTAAGTTATTTCTGGGTTATATCTTAAAAAAAATATATAGGAGACTGCAAAACCACACAACTTTACTCACAATAATCATACTTGTACCCAATTGTTTGTGTCTAGAGGACTCCACACCACACTGCAAGGAAGGGTAAGTTCTATTGTAAACCTGTTTGGTACTAAAAATTGTATTTTACTAGTACAAAAATTAAACTAAAAATATATAGAAAGCAAATACTAATGATTGTAACCATGAAAATTAGCAACTACCAGGAAAAGCAACAAGGCTGCTCCAGTTTGCATTCACACCTCATAGATGATTTTATATTCAAAGACATTCACTGATACTGAATTAGTACAGAAATATCCACTGTAACACACAACCTGCAGTTTTCATACTTTCCCTGCATGCACTACATGAAGTTTCAACCAACTGGCTTTAACTTTCTTCTGGAGAAAAATTTACCTGTCATGCAGAAGCAAGAACTAATCTTCCCTTCCAGGAGAGGCTCCAGCCACTCTTTCTTTTGCTCTTCAGTGCCATACATGTGGAGGACCTCCATGTTTCCCGTGTCTGTAAGAAATCAGCAGTCATGCTTACTGCTTGAGACACACAGCCTTTAAGGTGTAAGACACCCAACCTTTTAATGCTCCAGTGCCATAGTTTTGGGACTAAACCAGGGTTCTAACCTGGTGCATGACAGTTGAAAACCTCAGGAGCAATAAGGCATCTCCCTGTCTCCTCAGCAATTAGGGCATAGTCGAGCTGGCTGAGACCACTGACATCTGGGAGGAAAAGGTTCCACAGACCTTCTGCTTTGGCCAATTCCTATCACAAAAATCAACAGAAAAAACATCAGCAATAGGTCATAAAAAAAATTTAATTCTGGTTTGCAACACCTTTTCTTCACTCCTGCCTACGCTACTGTCCAATATATCTGATGCTTTTTTCAATAGCTATTCTGAAATTGTAGGTTCAGTCTTTGATTTAAAGTTCAGATATTCCCCTCTCAGACCTCATTTTGTTTTTCCTCTCTTTCATTTGTTTTCTCACTTTTTCCTTACTTCCCTCTTCCTTTCTTTTCATTGTTCCTCACATAGTTTCTTTCCATGTAAAGTAACTTCTTT